GAATGGCAGCAATGACACAGGCCTATAGTTTCTCATATTCAGGGGGTCAAGGGAAGGTTTTTACAGAAGCGGCCTAACAGCTGCTTCCTTTAAGCAAGCTGGAATATGTCCTTCCTTGAGGGATGCATTGATGATATCCATAAGGAATCTCAACAATGCATCCCCTCCTTGGGCAGCCAGCCATGATGGGCAAGGGTCAAGAGGGCATGTCGTTTTCCTCACCTTACCAAGGAGCTTGTCTATGTCCTCGGTACTCACAGATTGGAGCTGATCCAGAATAAATTCATTGATGGAGTCACTGGACACCTCATCTATAGTCTCTGCTACAACAGTGGTGTCTAAGTCGGCTCTTATCTGAGAGATTTTATCTGCAAAGAAGTTGTTAAATGCATCACACAAGATTGTTGTCGGGTTAAGCAAGGGATTTGGCACAAGAGGAAACTGCACCAGCTCCCTTACCACCCTAAACAGTTCTACTGGATGAGACTCTGCAGATGCAATACGTGCAGCAAAGAATGCTCTTCTTGCTGCACGTATTGCCTCCCGATAGGAACAAAGAAAGTTCCTATGGCGAGTTCTGTCAGATAGGAGCCGAGTCTTCTGCCACCTGCACTCTAGTCGTTGTCCAAACCGCTTCATTCTCCTAAGCTCTGGTGTGAACCATGGCCTTCGGTTTGAAGCGGGTTGGCAAGGACAATTGGGAGTGATTGTGTCGATAGCCCTGGTAAGGTAGATATTCCAGATATTAACCAGAGCATCAACAGGGTCACCAGCATTCCCAACCAATAAATACTCCAAGGTTTTCTGCAATCCAATAGGCTCCATTAGCCTTCGAGGGCGGACCATTCTAATGGGTCCACCACCCCCAGTGGGGCAGGTATTGGCTCTCAGTTCTTCCTTAACCAGGAAATGATCCATCCATGACAATGCGGAGGTACTTACCACCTCCACCCATGGATATTCTTGCTCCGTACTGAAGACCGCATCGAGTGTGTGACCTGTACAATGTGTGGGCCCAGAGACCAATTCGGATAGGCCCATGTTTGTCATGGTCTCCATGAACTCCCAAGCCGCACCTGTTAAGCTGGACTCGAGTGGAATGTTGAGGTCCCCCAGAACTAAAAGTCTGGAAGACACCAACAGCAGCTCGGATACCAGCTGTGTCAGCTCGATCAGGGAGTCTGCTAGACAACAGGGTGGTCGGTAGGCTAGCAGAATCCCCAAACTATCCATGGTCTTCAGGCTTAGGTAAATACACTCGAAGTGGACTGTGTTCCGGACAGGTATCCTGGTCAAGGTTGAGGTTGAGGTGTTCCTATGAACCAGAGCCACTCTGCCCCTGCCCACTTCCCCTCACCTGCTCCTTAACAGAGTACCCTGCTGGGAGGGCCTGCACCCAGGTAACAGCGGTATCCTCCCCCAGCCAGGTCTCCATGAAGCAAGCCAGGTCGGCATCCTCATCCAGGAGAAGATCCTGGATGATGTGAGTCTTATTTTTAACTGACCTGGCATTGCAGAGGAGCAGAGTGAGGTTCTGTGGCATGGTTGGTCTGCTCTCCAAGCCATTCTGAGAAACAGAGGGAACTGAAAGTTGGATAGCTTTCAAACAGCGATCCCGTCTTCTTTTGTAACACTGGTTTCCACTGTTCCAGCCATATCTCCCATTCCCCAGCACAACTCCAATAGTCGCCCATTACTCTCGACAACAATGTATAACTATTATTACCCATAGAGTGTGGAGATTTGACTCAAGAATGGATCTAAAAACTACTTTTTTAAGATCCTTCCTCAAAAAAATTTCAAAGCTCACTCCTTCATAATACATTCAGTATCTGATAGAAATAAAAAGACAAATTTTGATACCTCTCACAAATGATGCCAATTTCATGTCCCCCTCCTTTTTTGATAATGAAAGATTCAAGAACTGGGAGTAAAATAATTTATATAGAAATAAAGGGTTTTTATATGTCCTAAACCAAAATGAGTACACCAGACATCAGGTAATCCATCCAATTTTATACCCTGAAATAACAATCTAGAGACTAGGGATAGAAATAATATTTTTTAAAAAAATATATTCAGATGAATATATGAAAAATGTATTTTTTTCACATAAAAATTTAAACTGCTAATAATTAAACTCTAGATTTTGAAGACTTTATTGGATTTGAGAAAAATAGTAATCCAGCATATGAGAATGACCTTTATAAAGATTTCATAGACTCATAGATTTGGAAGAGACCACAAATGGCATCCAGTCCAATGCCCTGCCATGCAGGAACTCAGAATGCAAGCATCCCAACAGATGACCATCCAGCTTCTGTTTAAAAACCTCTAAACAAAGAGACCCCATCACTCTCTGTGAGAGTGTCTTCCACTGTCAAACAGCTCTTACTGTCAAAAAGTTCCTTCTAATGTTTAGGTGAAAACTCTTTTTCCTGTAGCTTGCATCCATTGTTCCATGTCCTAGTCTCAGTAGAAAACAAGCTTGATTTGTTTCACTTCATAGGCCCTTAGGCAAATTAGAGCAGTTAGTGAAACTCTTACAGTTAAAATTAAATGTTTTATTTTTACAATTTGATGTTAGGTTCATTCTATGGAACTTATCACACACATAAATGAATTGGTTTACCTGATCTGACTTAAAAATCCAGATACTATCG